CCCCCCGCCTGCAGCACACCGCCATCCAGCAATGCAACCTCATGCAGGCAGGTGCCCCCACCCCAGAGCTCTCCCAGATGAGTCACTCATGTCTTTTCTTAGCATTGTGTGGGCTCGGCCACCAAAACACATCCAGTGTCACATTTGACAGACTGTTGTGGTTACATAAAATAAGGAGAGTAAAACGCTATCATTTGAACCACCCACAAAAGCCTGGGAAAAACTCTATAAAAAAATATCCTTTGCTGATTATTTATTTATTTATTTTAGGATTTTTGCCACTGTGTGCATGCAATCACTGGAAAGAGACAGAGCAATAGGGAAAGTGAGAAATCACTCCCCAGGGAGGATGGCCACACAGCAATCCCTTCTCCAATCTCCTGTAGGGAGTTTTGGCATGTACACACATGTGCCTAGTGTGTTTTTAAAGCCACCGAGTCTGGGACTTAAACCAGATAGTTGGCCATCTGGGATTTAGCACCTTCACATTCATACTACCTGCTGGCCCAATAAAGGTTAATTTTTTTTTATTCTTTAATTTTTTTTTTTTTTTGAGAGAGAGATTTTTGCTATAGGGTGTATGCACTCGTTGGAGAAACAGAATGAGACACAGAAAGTGAGATATCACCCTCCAGAGAGATGACCATGCCACAATCCCTTCTCCTCCATTCTCTTCTTGAGACTTTGGTCGTGCATGCACACATGCCTGGCATGAATTTAAGCCACCAGGTCTAGGGCTCAAACTATGGTCCACTACATGGGAGTCCAATGACCTAACCATTACAACATTTGCTGGTCCCAATAAAGGCTAATTTTATATGTAGTCATATATTTTTATCTCTTACCATTCTTCTGAGAGTCATCTAGAGCCTGATAATATGAGTTTACTCTTATCATGTGTTACAAAAATCTTTTTTGGGGGGACCAACAGTTAGCATAATGGCTATGTCACTGGACTCCCACATAGTGGACCGCGATTTGAGTCCCGGACCCAGTGGCTTAAACTCACCCCGGGCGTGTGTGCATGCGTGCCCAAGATCCCGAGAGGAGAATGGAAGAGAAGGGATTGTGGCGTGGCCATTCCCCCTGGGGGGTGATATCTCACTTTCTGTCTCTCTATCTCTCTCTGTCTGTCTGGCGAGTGCATGCGCCCTATAGTAAAAACCTCTCCAAAAAAAAAAAAAAAAAAAAGGAAATCTTTTTTTCCCCTTTCTTCAGGTTTTTGAGTCATTAAATACATTTTCTTGCCTAAGAAGGGCACCCAAGTGTTATTTTTAGTTTCTTTACCTAATAAAAGAAAGTCACTTGCCGTGGAGAAATGACACTATTTAACTTGTATCACCTTTTCAGTAATAGTTACCTATTTTATCCCCAAATTGTATAATAGCCTTCCATTAAAATGGGTAGTGGTCCATTGGCTGACTACCCCTGCTCTTTGCATTATTCTATAATTTTTTAGATAGCAAATTTCTAAAGCTAGAAGTCAGACATAATTCCTATTTTCATCTCCCAATTCAGTGCTAAGCTGAGTGTCTTACTTATATAACTAATATTCCCTAGTTTAAAAAATGAAATAATCGCTTTCCCATAGTGACCATTAGATTCCATCCTCAAGACAATACAAGGAAAAGACAGAAAACTCTACCTACTAATTTTGATTCCATAATCACTTTGCTACCGTATTTTAGAGACAAAGCTCTAACATATCTAAGCTGAGTTGAGAATTTGAACCATTGAGGGATTTATTTCTTTTATTCCCTAGATACAGGTAAATTGGAATCAACATGAAACAAACTTGTAGCTTGGCAGACACCAGTACACAATCACTTAGTTATTACTATAGAAAGAAAATCATGTGTGTGTGCATGTGTTTCCCAAAGGAGGCTGTGGTTCAGTATGAACAATATGAGCAAGAAATGAAGCATCTCCAGCAGCTGATCGAAGGAGCCCACAGAGAGATTGAGGATAAACCTGTGGCCACCAGCAACATTCAGGAGCTACAAGCCCAGATTTCACGGCATGAGGTGAGACAGAAATGGAGGCAGAATAGTAGGGGAAGGAACTTGGCTTGATGAGAATTTAAGATTGATTTCTAGTGAATGAAAGAGGACTTTTCCCTCTGTCCCCTGAAGCGTGTTCAATCCTTGGGCAGCCTCTGACTATCACTGAAATGTGCATGTGATTTTTGCTGGTCTAGTAACCTGAACTTCCCCTTGATTCTACAACTGCTTTACCTATTGCTCATGGTTTATCTCCACTCGAGCGCACCATTTGTCTCCCACACCCAGCATTCTCACTGTTGATACATGAACACATAGTATACTTCCTATTTTTAAAGCCTATGGTGGGGGGAATTTCTAGCATGGTAGTTAACTCAGTGCTTCCAGAGCTGGGTCCCATATGCTGACTGTGGTTCAAATTGTGGCCCTAGTGGCTTGAAAAACCACTTAAGGCATAGGTACAGGTGTCTCCCAAATCCTGACAGATTGGAAAAATGGAGAAGGTATTGTTGCAGCATGACCAAACTCCATGGAGCCCATGGAGGGTGTTTTTTGTTTGTTTGTTTGTTTCTCTCTGTCTTTCTCTCTCATGAGTGCATGCGCCCTTTGGCAATAAAAAGAAAAGAAATAATGATATCACTTATAAGGTACAACAATGCTCAGAGCTTTGCTACATCGATCACCCTTTCAAAAAAGAAACATTCATGTTAAAAAGAAAGTCACTTGCTCTTTTAAATCATAGTTATTTCAATTCTTCCACCAAAATCAGAGAAACATCTGTGTTGTTCATTTCACTAATTTTCAGATTGGGTCAGTTTCCATTTCCCCTGTTTTCAAATGCAGCTCCAACCTCTTTCCTTTGGCATCATACTGACCTTAGGACTTGGCTACTCCTTGCGCAGACCTGGTCTCAGAGATCATGGCCCTGGAGTGGGCAAGCTCATCGACAATCAGCAGTAAATTTCCCTTTCTCATCTGTCGGTTCCATGTAGGTTAATTTCACTCTTT